TTTTGTTCAACTTCTTTCGACTGCGCAAATTCATAGTCAAGAAAAATAATTCTTTCATAATGTTCTCGTAATCTGAATAAACAAATCGTAATTATTTAAATCAACAAAATGAATATAGACTACCCAACATAGATAAAAAAAGTTCATTTCTACTTGCTTGGTGCGCACAGTTGCAACTTGTTTATCAAAGGGTGGCTTTTGTTTTGAAAGCTGGCGAAGCTCAGCTTCCAATTCCACCGAAGATCTGACAAATCATTCAATAGTCATAGAGTAAATGCGAGAAAGGATATAAAAGCAATTATGTGGCAAGAATTTATGGGTGAATATTACAAAGAAAAAAAGAAAAAGATTGTTGACGTTAGAAGGTCGATTCTATAAAAATCAAAAAAAAAAAAAGAGAGAATTTGAAAGCACTTAGGGTTGCATACTTATACAGATCCAGTGCGGTTTGGCGATCCGAGGAAGGCATCGTCAATCAAATTGGAAAGTTAAAGAAAAACAATCAGATGCCACAGCGTGAAATTCATACGAAGCAAAGTTTATGTATAAGCCTCGTTTTGCCACAGTATAACATACAAATAAATAACCAATCTTTGCTTCTAACTCTATTAAGACAAATTAATATAAGTTCTTTTCTCACTATTTATTTTGTCTGAAAAAAAATCGTGCAATAGTAAAGGTCAAATTTCATCTTTATATACCCTACGCAAGAAACATGGAGTCTGCGTTTGGCTCAGCAATTGCGTAACACAAGATATGATATCAATGGAAATTTGTAATGATTGAATTTTATGTCATGTCATGTTGAAGGCTTTTTACAAATTGATCCTTTACAATGTAAATTTAACCTCTAAATATGGTCTATGATATAAAAAAGTATTTTTGCATTTGAAACTTTGCATTTAAGCTTTGTGTCTTTCAAAATGGCGAGGCGTCGCAAGTTCTGTTTTTAGGTTCAAATAATAAATATTATTGGTCCGCTCTTACAACGTAATCACGTGAAATATACTATCTCATCGTGCTAACGTTGTCGTTAGAATTTAGAATATAAAATAACTTGCGGCCGTAGCTGACAATGTTAATGTGCGATGATTTTTTAGCATACGGCTGGCTGAGTGTAACGTTCATTTACAATCCCAAATATGGGTAATTAAGTAGCACGTTCGGGCCGCGCTATAAATGCATATAAAGCATGCTTGAATCCAAAATTTAAATTTTTCAACAATATTTTAACTTACAATTTAACAATAAAATGGGACACCATCGCCCGGTTCCTTTAACCCCTACTGCGGCAATAACCGCTAAGATTATGGATGCCCGTGCTGATTTCCGTAAAACGTTTGAAGAAAGTCTTGGTGGTAAATGCCGCGTTTCTTATACGTTCACCTTTAGTAATCTATAAAATTATTGAATCTAGAAAGCTTGTTTACTCAGATTGTTTGGTTATTTGACTTAGTGGAAATCTCCGACAATTTAGAGAAAGGTGTTTACTTTTTAGCTCCTGATAACATCACCGTAGAAGATTCATTATATAAAAAATTTCAGTCCGTATTAAAAGAAGTTGTTGATTCTGAACCTGAATTAGCCGCAAAAATCAAATCTGGGGAAGATAAGTTGGAAACCTTAGAAACACATGAGAAGGTATGCTGAAAATTATAAAGATGTGAATCAAAAAAAGATAATTGAAGTTTGATCCGAGTGCTTTTATTGTTTTATAAGCCATTTTAAATTACAATTTCAAAATTACAATTGCATTAATTTTAGGTCGTGGCCCTTCTTCCACCTCCGATAGAATACTCATATACTGAAAATGCTCAAGAATCAGCATCTTGAAATCCATAAAATTATTTCAAATTAAAGTTTTATGGAATTTAAAAATAACATAAAACTTGTCAGCTTGGATTTAAAATATATTTATTTTGTACTATTTTGGTATATATATATATATATATAAAGGTGGGAACAATTCCGGGTTTTTTTTTCTTTTTCTTTTTTTGTTTTTTTAAAAAAAATATTGTATTTTACGATAATTAGAAAATCAACTTATATGTTAGCCGTTGTAACAATAAAAAGTTGTTTAAATGAAACTGGGTTAAATTTTTATAAAAATTGGTGTTTTCTTGTTAACTATAGAAGTGGTATTAGAAGTAGATATATTTTTATTTGTATAAACCTAATTAAAAATATTAAAATTAAAAAAAAAAAACTAATTAATAGGTATCTATTTGGCTATTGTACTAAATTTAGTACAGAAAAACTTAAATTTATTCAAATTTTGCTAAAATATATTTGAATTAAGAATTATTTTTTTTAAACAATTTTAGCAATACTTAAAACTCTTTTTGATGATTACTTGAACCAAGTTTGTACGGTTTTTGGATAAAAATTGTATCAATTATACTTACAAGATATAAAACATTGAGATGTGGATATATTTTGTAGTAATATATGTTGGAATTAAATTTTGATCTGATTATATTTAATATTCAAGTCAAAAAAAAGTTTTGGTAACAAGAAAAAAAGGTTTATTAAAAGTTTATTAATATTAAAAAAAAAATAATTTAAAAACACTCTTGTTAGACTTGATTTTTTTTATACTACAGTTGTTCTTCTCTATGATCACGCGGTTTGTTTTATATAAAAAAGATGTGATTACAAAATTTTAATAGTATTGTGATTATATAATTTTTTTTT